TTTGCAAAGTTAAACTAATCATGACCTATTCTCTTAAACACCAAGGAAGGTCCAGGTGATCATGTCTGACCCTTTGCATCCTTTGATCAGGCTGTAATGAAGAGTACCAAAGTGACCCTTTATGATCAATAGACAGATATATTGATAGATATATATATTGATAGAGAGAGAGAGATGGATAGATAGATAGATAGATAGATAGATAGATAGATAGATAGATGGATAGATGATGGATGACAGATAGGTGACGGATGGATGGATGGATGGACAGGTAGGTGGGTGGGTGAGGTGTGACAGTGTGGGGTGGGTGCGTGCACACGTGTGTACCTGTATTGTACCCGTCAGGAACAATATTCCTGCCTTAGCAGAGAGAAGCTCTATGTGGTCTTACTTATTTGATCTTATCCGTCTACTCCATTACATTCAGACTGATCTCCATGTCAGGTCGAGGGCACAGGTCTCAAGTCAGTGTCTCTGGGGATCTTAGTTGAGATCTACCCCAACTAAGTGGGGTAGAAAGTTCCATTGGAGGTTAAGAATAAACTACAGAAGCTCATCACTTCCGAAAGATTCCTGAGTGTCCGATTCATGCTGCTTCCTCCTAAGCCTTCTTTCAAGCACCAGAAAGAAGGAAAAAGGGGATATAAAATCAGGTGCTTTATTTTCACCTTTTCATAGAAAGTGCACAACGTGTCAATTTTTGCTCTATAAATGTCCATCTCTTAAACGACTGAACCCAGGCCACCCAAAAGCAGCACACAACACACAGGTCATTCCTGCTGCCAAGCCAACACAATTCTGGAGCAACACCCAGCTTCAGACATCCCAAAGTAACGTGAAAAATATGACAAAGGACTCCTGGAGATTCCCCACTAGAAATGATATGTTTTTCTTTTTTTGCTAAAAACATACTGGCATATTAACATCTGTGAAAAACCATGGATGCTCCCCAGATCTCTGTAAGCCACCCCGGGATTTCACCCTGGTATGTTGCCTTTATATCCGTGGCCTTTACAGTCTCTATAAAAACAGAGACTCTCTGATTATTCCTGAGTTGGCGTTTCCAGAGTCACTTGTGCCGGGAGGACCTCGTCGGTGTTCTCCCATTTGCACCACGTGTCTGTACCAGCCGCCGAACTTTCCATCGCAGGACACACGGATGTGAGCAAATACATCCTATGCTCCACTCTCTTTTTTCCTCTTGTGCTCGTTCACTCACTCTCTCTTTCACACACAGACACAAACACCCACCTTATTACACTGTACAGAAAGTAAGTATCACGCACCTGGCAACTCATGAGACTGCATCTCAAGTATTAAGCAGAAATGTCCAGAACACCTTTGTGAATGACCGCCAAGACTCTCTCACCTGCTGCTAACAATCTCAGAGGGTGGGAGGCTTGTGGCACAACAACCTTTTCTGTCCCAAATACTTCCACCCTCACGCCTGCCCCAGTAATGTCAGGGCCTCCCAAAGACACACAGACTACAGATCTGCATGGGCCCCCCGTCCACTCAGTCCTGGCTGACAAAGATCATACTGGGCATGTGGGCTTGCTTTATGATAAGCACCATCACTTACCGTCTGCACTGACAGGTCCCACCCTCCACGCGACTGCACCCAGGGGTCCCACACAAACGCCCCAGCCCCTGAGAGGCTGTCAATGGGCTCCACCCACCCCCTCCCCTCAAGGCCTGCTCGTCCTGGGTTCCACTATGCGGAACAACTGGAATTGACTGGGCTTAGCGACTGGCTCTGGCTCCAGCTTCTAGAGGTCATCTACCTCCCTTCGCTGTACCCTTTCTGGAATCCAGGCCCAGCACAGCTCCTAGTCCCTCAAGACCTCATTCACGTCCAATGCTCAGAACACTCACAGCCCAGAAAGTGAATAGAGACGTGCATTAATCATCACTTTTGCCAGAACCTTCCTCCTCTCCAGCACATCACCCTCTGAGAGTTCAAGACCCCTCTTCTCAGCCTGCATTGGACCTCTCAAGGCCGGCTCTGCATCCACACCCACGGACATTGTCTATTTCTAGCAGACCCGACAGCAGGAAAACAACTATCACTTTACAATTTCCAAAGATATAAAAACCTTGAACTGCTACCACCACCAATGGCCTGAAAAAGCAAACTCGCTCTGTCTCTGCTCCAATTACCTGGTTCTCTTTAAGTAAAACGGAATTTGAAACCATACAGAGGAGGTTCTGGGGCTGAAGCAGAGCATTAGCATAAATATTGGCTTGGCAGAACTTACATCTTTCTTCCACTCACAGAACTGAAGTGCTTGCCTTCTTTTTTTTCCTGCCTGCCTCATGCCTTTTCTGAACATCAGCAAAAAACTAGTTTTGTCACCAGAAAGCTGCTCTGGCCTGGCTTTTAAATTCGGCTGCTGGCACCTCTCGGGGAACTGATCAGGGATAACTACTTTTGACTTAAAAAACCATGCAGGAAAGGAAAACAGCCCAGCCCCAAAGAGAGACTGAACCTGAGGTCATCTCATTGGCTAGCAGAGCTGGCAGGTGACAGAGGACCTCATTTTAATACTGGAGCATGCGGTGTGGACCAGTCTTGCAGCCAGCTTCAAAGAAACCCGTCAATTCACCGCATTTTTGTCCACTTCCATGGTCCGTTCTGATCACCTGCAGCGAAGACAGGGGAAATACAGGCAGACAGCATCGCCGCAGCAAAAATGCACTCACAGGTTGAAAGTGCTGGTGGACTGAAGACAGTCACTTCTCGGTCCAGGGGTCTTTCATAAAGAGACGGAAATTCATACATGTCACCCTGGTTTGATGTCATCTTTGATGGAGTCTAATATCTGCAGGGACCTATGGTCTGTGCCGATGTATACAGTTGGAGTTATCAGTGGTCCTTCCACTTACCCACATCGCTACTGCCTTTCAGAGGTGTTCCTTCCCCCTCAAACATCTTTCTTTAGCTAGAAATTTCTCATCGATGGAGAGAAACGCTGAGCCAGACCGGCACTGCCTGATTTCAGGACGGAATGCCCTAGTGCATCAAGGTGAGCCATCTTACATGAGAGCAGGTCCAGACCGCTGCTAAATGAGAACTGATGCCAAGGGCCCAGGGCAACATCCAGCACCGCGGGGGACCCTCGACACAGATGTGTGCGCCTCCCGGGCCCATCCTTGGCGGTCCTTACAGCTAAGGTGCTGCAAGCGTTCCTTTCCGTTCTTCCTCCCTTCATCCCAGGGCACCATGGATGCTCCAGGCCCCCGACACGCTTCTCCCTCTACCAGGCAGGCTGCCTGCTTCCCTTGCCCCCAGAAGTGTGGGACCTCCGGGCGATCTCAAAGCACCTGAGACACCTATTCTTCCGGGACATTCTATTCTCTTATTCATCTTTCCTACTAGACTGGAAGCTCATCAAGGGCAGGAACCACCTTTTACACATTTTCTAGGCTAAATGCTCCTGACACTACATAACAACAGCAAGACCCCGATCAATTTCTCTTATAGGGTTTCTACTCAACTGTATCTCCGATTTTTACTCTAAAATAGATATTTTTCTCAATAGAGAAAAGTCTTCAACTGCTAATACCTCTGACGGCCTGGCAAAGCAAACGGGCTCTGGCTTTGCGGCAGTGATCTCAGGTCTTTAAGTAAAATGGAATTTGAAATCTTACAGGGCTTCTCGTGTTGAGGGAACAGCATCAGCACGGGGACACTTGGAGGGCTCCTGCCGTCCAGACCCGAACTCTGAATTCCTCGGAACACCAAAGGAGGCCGTTCACAAGCAGGTCCCCTGTTACACGGTCCTGCCTCACACTGAAGCACCAGGCAAGCCAGATTTCCATCTTTATTTCTTTTCAAAATCTAACATACTTTTTCACAGCTATAAATTATCCGCATCTAAGGATCCTCCAGCCATACATGACCACCTTCCCTTCCTGGACACCACCTTGAACTCCCACCTGTGCAGCCTTATCCATGCTGTGCCGAAGCCAGACCAAGTGTCACTCCCTCCCCTGTGCTCCCAGAGCACTTTGCTCTTGTCTCTAATGAGCAGTCACCCTACTGGACAAGTACCTTAGAATTACGTCATCTCCCCACCAGGAAGAACTTGAAACCCAAGCAGGCAGCGGGCAAGCACTTCATGCAGCGCCGGGCTCCTAGAAGCTGCCTACCAAACGTTTGTTCAATGGATGAATAGATTGTTGTGCCCAAGGAATCCAAGCACATTCATCAGGGTACCGTCGCAGTAAAGAAGATAAATGCAGTGTCCTCTTTCTTAAGAGAAAGCACTGATGTGTCTGAAAAAAGCAGCGACGGAGCGCCAAGAATGGTTCCAAAATTCCGGTCCTTCTCCGAGCAATGTCAGGGGCTAAGCCATAAAACGCAACAGCGAGGAAAACCTCCATCGACGTAATTAGGATTCTCCTCTACCTGTAGGTTGGCTCCCAAGAGTAGTAAGAGAGATGGGAAACAATAGCACCAAAATGATGAACAGGCTGGGCTTCCCCTGGGTGTCGCCCACGACACAAATTCCATGCAAGTGACCAGAGCCCACCGGAGCGTTTATCACGTACCTCCTACTGCACACACTGTACGCGGTACTGCGGAGGGAGGGAAAAGAGACGCCACTCCCAGCCCGGCGGAGGAGTGTCCATTCTCAACGATACTCTGTGCCATCTCAGGAAGCCCTTCCAGGCCTCGTCACCTCTTCAGAGAAACCTCTCTCTAGTCCTAAACCCTCACTCCACACACAACTGATCCTTCCTCTGTCTTCCCCAAGCTCTGTGTTCAGATCTGGGAGGAACGTCTATCCCTCCCACTGGACTGTGGTCTCTCATCGGCAGGGACGCCAGTCTCCATCTTTGGATGACCAGCTCCCAGCCCGCAGGACTGGGGGAATGCAGGGGCTTGGTGAATGTCCCCTGAACGGATTCACATTTCTATGATCTCCTTCAGAAACTGCACCCACACCTGGAACACCTGTGAAAAGAAGCTGACAGTGACCGCGAACATGCTTTACCTCTTTAAGGACCAGCACACATTTGCCTGGTCCCACCGACTGAGGTAGCTCTGCGATCCTCCCCTTGTTCAGGTAGGGGCCTGAGAAACACCTGTGGTTGATGAAGAGCTGAGGACAGCTGTACTTTCCGTTGACGGTACCTGTGGGGACAGCAACAGAGCCGAGGCTGTAGGAACCAGCGAAACACTGGCTTAAGCCACTCAGGTGGCAAAACTACCGGGAGGTGCATTGTGTCTTAATATCAGAGTGTTTTATAGCCACAGTAATATCTTAGAAATTCTGATTAGTCTTTCTACCATATAAATGAACTTTTTTGTTTATTATGCAGGATTCAAGATGCACAAAAGGATGCAAAAACTAAGACAATGACAACTAAGGTATCACTATTTGGCTTAAGAAAAAAAACCACCAGTGACACAGCTAAGTTCCCCTTTGTATCCTACCCCAGAAACTGCCCCTACCCTCCCTCCCAGAGGTAACCACTACCCCGAATCTGGTATTTATCATTCCCATGCAAATCTATAAACTTTACCACGCATATATGTATGTGTGTAGCAACAAGCAATATATGATATTTTGGATATTTAAAAAATATTCCATAAATGGTTTTCTGCAACATTTTGTTTGTTCAACATAAAGTTTCTGAGACCCATCCAAGTTGATAAAAGTGAATCCAGAATGTTCATTCATTTTTCATTCCTGCATACTATTCCATCATATGAATACATCACTCTTGAATTTTCTTCCATTCTCATTGATGGACACTTAGTTGTTTCCACTTTTTCAATTGTACCAACAGTGCTTTAATGAACACAACTGTAAAAATCCACTTCCGCTTATGAACAAGAGACTCTTCCAAGTACATAACAAGGGGTGGAATTGCTCAGCCATGGGGTCTACATACCTTGTTTTCTTAGGCATGGCCAAACTGTTCTCCACAGTGACCACCCAAATTTATACTTGAATAAGCACTGCATAAGAGTCCCTGCTGTCCTACATCCCAGCCAGCAGTAGATTTTGCAGGGCTTCTTCATCCTGCCAATCTGAGTGGCGTGAAATGTCCCTCACAGTGGCTTAAATCTGCATTACTCTCATTATTCCTTCAACTTAGAAGGTGAACAGGAAAGTGAACGGGGCAAGCTGTTGGTCTAGTTGTGTCTCCAGCTGCCATGGGGAAAAAGTAATGAATGGTAAGCTGCTACTCCAAAGCTTCCTGATGTCTCTAGACACAGAATGAGGCTTCATTTCGGCTAAGAGACACCCTCTCCTATCGCTGCTCCAAGCTAAGCTACGCTAACAATGGAATTTCTGTATAATACTGTTATTAATATAACAGTCCAGGAAGGCTTGTTCTCATAGGGCGTCAACTAAACCAATAGGTAGGAGGGAGAAATGTTATTTTTCTGGGGATAAGACGAAAGGAGTGAAATAACAATCACAGACTCTGAAAGAGTAGCTGACGTGATTCTTTTAAAACCATTCTGAAGTTTGAATTCTATACAACGGGCAAAAAAATTAAGTCCACAGCTGCCTCTGCATGGAAATTTTTTGGTAGGATTACTCTGCCCAGAAAAAAATAATTTTAGTAAGTCTACTCATAAAGTAAGTCTGCTCTCTTTACTACAAAGATAACTTCAATTAATAGGATTCTTCCATGGCATAGAGGTTTTAATCCTGGAATTCAGAGCAGGTTTCATTTTGGCTAGAAAACAGAATTCTTAAACAAATACATGACTTAGTCAAATATATGACCAATATGTCTATAATCAGATTTGTGGTCAAAGGGTAATTCATATCTGTGTTTTCAAAGGTTATTGTAAGACACAGGACTTTATACATTAAAAAACATACGTTATTCACAACCGGCTATTCAAACACAGAGGGTTTTAAGGAACGATTCAAGGGCCCGCAGAGACTTAAAAATTAACCACTCGTGTAAAAATCCAAGTGAAACTGGCATAAAATGTCAAAAAAAGGAATGCCTAGTAATGATATTTTCAGCTCTTTCTTTTTCCACATGACCTTCCATGATACTCAGCCCTAACTGGATTCATAATTTCCAAGTAGCACATGGACCCTTTTCCCGCAGACCAAGAGAACTGTCCAGAGCTACTGACCAAGAAGCAGAAAAGAAGAGGCACAGAGAATTTAGCTCAGAAATTAAAAAAAAAAAAAAGTAGATATTTGTCAATAAGCAGCAATAGAGAAAAAGAGAATAGACTCAAAATTGAGATATTCTCATACTGACTTAAAAATACGTGCATGTCTCCACTCACAGCAACAAATTGGGAAGGACAGAGCACCCCAAATGGGCTCATTTACCTGTGGTGTCCAGGTGAGGAAATAAACAAAGGTCGTGAGGTATTTTCTCAACAGGCACTGTGGATGGCAATCTGTGAATAAAGAAAATAAAGCTCCATGGGTCGCACGCTTTAGAAGAAACTAGTACATTCCAAGTCTTTTCATGACTTAAAACAACCAAGACAGAAGTCTAAGAATGTGGGAGGACAGGATGTGTGCATCTAGCAGCAACATCGATAAGCACAGATAAAAAGATCAATTCAGACAGGTTGTCCTCAAATTCCTGCAACAACCCTCAGAAGTCAGTGGTACATCTGCCCGTCGTGTGGTCATCACTGATCAATGAGGTTCTTCTAGGTCACTCCTGGGTTTGTCTCTTGTTACAGAATTATACTAATGCCCTTAATCATATTTTGGACATGAAGAAACATCAACTTGTACTAACTTTAATTATAGTCAAATTTCTCCTCTTTAATGTCTAATTGAAAACCAATTTCAGGTGTCTATGCTTGGATGGTCATGGCCGTACTAAAAAGAAGACCTTCAAAGAAAACTTATGAACAGATGTTTCTTAAAATGTGAAGCAGGCAGGTATTCTAGGACAGAAGTCTGTGTCATAGTTCAGTAAAAAGTTGCTGAATAAATATAAAAAAATTTAGCCTCAGGGGAAAAGAGGCGAATTGAGTTTCACAGGGGTATCCAGGTTGGCTATGGGGAAACCACAGTTGAAAAGTGACAAAAACTCAAAGCAAATCATGACGAGAGATCTTAGAGGGGACATCGATGGCACTGGTTCTCAAAGTGGGGTCCCCAAACTGGCACATCAGCGCCACCTGGGAACTTGTCAGACATGCAGATGCTCAGGCCCCAAGCAGACATGCTGACTCAGAAATTTTGGAGATGGGGCCCATAATCTGTGTTTCAACGAGCTGTCTAGGTGACCGGTGTAAATAAAGGGTGAGAACCACTGATTCATGCACTGCAAATTTAGGAGTTATGATTCAAATTTGGATTCAATGATGGGACTCTCATTCTATCATTCACTCTCTATTTCAATGTTATCCAGATTATTAACCTGATCACTGTGTTTAGAAATGAATGTACAAAAAATACCCACAAAACTGTGATTCACATTCAAATAACAACACAGCTATTAGTCAATTTCATTTTATTTCAATTTAAACTTGGGTACATAAAAAAAAACGCTGTTTTCAATTCCCTTTCCATCAGTGTATTCATAAAACAGAATCAGCTGGCAAGGGATGTGTGTTTTAGTGTATTTTATATATTTTTCAATATATAAAAATGTTACCAACAGTTATGATTTTCCAAAAACATACTTCCAGCATGTACACACATTGCCCGAACACCCTCCTTCCTCATAAAATTATAATTGAAATGTGGGATAATTTATGTTTATTCAACAATGTAGGGCCTACAAATTTTCTCACATGGAATCTAATTTAATGGTCCTAAAAGTCTTGAGAAATAGGTATTTTACAAATGAGGGCGTTGAGATGCAGAGAACTAAGGCCACTGGCTCGAGCTCACCCAGCTGGGAGGTGGGAGAGCTGGTGTCAGACTGAAGTCTCTGTCTGCCGGGCCCCGCTATGACTAGTGATGGGGAGGATGTGGTGGGGACCGGGCAGCACTGCTCAGCCTCTTGGAGCATTAGAACCACTATCACAGAGAACCATTACTAGCTGATGTGCAAGACTGGGATATCCTTCAGGTACACTGAGCGGGAAGGAAAGTGAGAAGTTACAATCTGGAGTAGAAATCCCTTTAGAAGCAGGACCTGTATCCTGCACATAAAGGTGTACAATGAATAACAGCATATACGTATTACTGTTACCTTTACTACTGTGCTGTGTGTTAACTAACACCCTTAGAAAAACAGCCATGTTTCATCTTCTATAAACACACTGCATCATTTATCACATAGTTTTTGGAAAAAAAAAAAAACAACTTACTGTTTTTCTGGTTGCACAACTGCAATCTTTCTCTTCTTTTGTGCTATAAAACAGGCAAAAAGGGGGAAAAAAAAGAAAATCAGCTTTGTTGGCTAGTTGGGCAAAAGCATTTTTAAAAATAGCTTCGTTTAAAACAGTTTTAAAGTAACAATTTAAATAATGAAAAGTTATTTCATTCATGCCACAGTTTTATCTTAATTTCTTCTAGCATAAAATGGACTTATCAGTAATGAGGTCTACATAGAATGTAGTACATTTAATCTTATCACTGCACTGGCTCCTTTATTTTAAAATGTGCTTTTAATAAGAAAGAAAAATAGGACGCACATGCTACCTCACGGAACACACTTGGTGAGATAAATTGTTGCAGGCACGATTATCCAGATATTTTTTTTTTCCCCAGAGAAAGTGTGGTAAGTCAAATAATGTTGCCATAACAGCATACTCCCAAATTAGGATTAGAGGCTTACTTTTAAACTAAAACATTTATTATTGAAAGGACTGGTGCCTAGCAAATATGTCTGTCAAATATTGACATAAACCAGCCAACAATAATTTTTGGATAAGAACATTGCCAGTTTATATTTATAATTGATTAGAATCGCTGTAACAAAGACAGACCAGAGCTTCTGGCACCTATTAATTCTGGCACAGATAATCCTGCATCTTCCAACATAAGCATAAATTAATTCCAACAAAACTTCTAAAGCTGTCAGAGTTTGGCGGGTTTAGATTTAGAGTCTGCATCTTCAAAGCAGAATGTATGCATAAGAAATGAAAGCAAGAATAAATAAGAGAAATAGTCACTGAAATTGCATCCACTCTTGACTTTATTTAGTATTCAATTCCAGTTACTACTATGAAAAAGTACAAACTTCGTGATCTGTAAGGTAGAAAGTGAGTATAGAGTAAGTTGCCTAACTCGGTCTCTACTAATAAGGTGGGGATGCCCGAACTTCGGGATATTCTGGTAAGGAGCCAACACAACAGACCCAGATGCAAAATGGAGAACTGAGGAAACACGATGTCCACCTTAACCCACATGTGATTTGGCTCTAGAAAAACTCCAAGCTCCTGTCACCTCCCAAATCCACGTGAAGGAGGGAGGAAGAGGATACAGGACACGAGGTTCTGTCTGATGCACAACTAAGACCAGAGATTGGGCCCCAAACCTGTCACTGAACCCAGGGAGCACCTGATTATTGGCAGTGCAGGTGGAGAGTCAAGAATATGCATCATTTTATGGGGAAAAAAGAATACACTTGAATTTGAAAAGAATACCCTTGAAATTGAAAAAACTATCCTCAGCTTGAAATTTTAGAAATATTTTAAAGTGAGGGCAGGATATCACTCTCAGTGGATTGGATTTGCTGAGCAGTGTGGTATATGGGAGAGAAGAATCCCTTAAAATCCACCTCTGTCTATGATCTGAGCTACCGACTTTGTTTGACACAGATAATGTCCCATCCTACTCTTAATGCATATCGAGTAGGAGGACTCTTAAGTTGCCTTCAAAATCGTCTGATATCAGGGGATGGGAGGCCAACTGAGAGATGGAACTTTCTTTATAGCAAGGTTCTGAGCATCTACGTAAGTGTACATACAGTACGCATTCTGGTATACTGCTAGAAAGCAGTAAAGCTAGCACGTAAATTACATAAAGAAAATATTAGAAATATAATCTATTTCATAAAAAATTAAAACCTCTCATCTTTAAGGACCCACAATTGTGAATAATATTTTTGATACACCTTAGGGTAGAATAATGAATGTCAAGATTTATTAGGTTTTGAGGATTTTTTAAATGATACCATAGTCATGATAATGACCTATAATACGTTTAAACACAAGGCTGTAGATCTCTAAGCGTGCGTGTGTGTTGCTGGGTTAACTACTAATATTGTTTTAATTTGCTATCTTTGTTATCAGAAGGATGTGTTGTAATGCACTTTTCAAAGTACAGTTGAAATCTCACTGGTTAGTTAGTGCTAAGAGTACTCACAGTTTATTTCTGTCACAGTATTTCTGTTACTGGGACCAATTATGATCTTTTGGGGTAAACTTCATGAGAAAAATTAGTTTTTTCTCAGATATGATAATATAAAAATATAGTATTTAGTTTAAATTTTTTCTAATCAAAATAATGAATAGTATATGAAACTGGGAGTGAAGATTCCAGATATTTTCTCTCTGCCTCTCGGTGGGACCTTCAAACGTCTCATCATTGTGACTTAGTTTGTCAACCTGTGAAATGCTTCTAAATACTCATTTCACATAGACACTTAAATGAAAAATGAGATAAAAATACTGTTGCTCTGTAGAAAATCCAAAACCTTTTTTGATTTTTACCACTTGGCCATCCTATCTTTACAAAACTGCCCGTTTATTCACCCAAATGTGATCCCCCTACTCCAAACTGGGTCATACTTACAGACTGTTTTGTGTGGTGTGGTCAAAGGGTAGGAATTCGCTTCACACCAGCCCACTGGGAAGATGTCCATGGATTCAACGTCCACAATAAACTCCGGAGCAGGAGTCTGCAGGCCTGCGTGGAAAAGGCAAGACGATAGGAACAAACGGGTATTACCAACAAAGACGCAGAAGAAGAAAGGAAAATGCAGAGCATCCTTGAGATGGTGCACTCCCCCGAATGCTTAACACAAAGATGAGAGTATTCTTACATCAGATACAAATGCTTGAAATATAAAACAGCAAGAGTACAAGGGGTTCAAATAAAGGGGGGGGGGTTTGGAAAAGACAGCGACTTCCCACTGAAAACAGGAGGAGGAGGAAGGAATCTACAACGACTGGCATTGGAGCCAGAAGGGCTAGAAGAGGGAAGAAGTCTCCTTATCTAAGAACACCTTGGAAAGGAAGGAAATGTGGCCGAGCTTGGGGTGGGGCCTACATGGCACATGTTTGAGCCACTCAGACATCCTTCACCCAACACCAAGCAAAAGCCACCCTTCAACTAATGAAAGTTAACAATACAGTTAAAAGGAACTAAGACTCAATAACACCGGTTATGGGCAGTGAACACAGATGACATAATTTTTCTAGGGAACTTGCTCACTTGTTCATTTGATTGGAGTTACTGATTTTGAACTCAGTTTGTGGCCTGCAGACTTCTGCCACGTCACACAAAAGTCATTTATTTTTTTTTTTTTAAAGATTTTATTTATTCAGTTTTTTCCCCCCAAAGCCCCAGTAGATAGTTGTATGTCATAGGTTCACATCCTTCTAGTTGCTGTACGTGGGACTCGGCCTCGCGTTGGACGG